CCCCAAAACCCCAAAACCCCAAAACCCCAAAACCCCAAGATAAATTAATAATGTTGATTCACTAGTAATAAGGAATTTAAAAATGTGGCAACTTTTATCAGCAGCAATTTCATTCATTATCCTGCACTACCTCCTCGGCATAGGACGGGAGGTAGCTCACAGTGAGATTGTAGGAGGAAGTATAAGTGATGTGTGAACCACGGTGGAGGAACTTAGGGTTATAAACTATGAAATTCACCCGCATTTAAACCGGCTAAGGGGGTCAGAGTTTTTCAGAATTTTTAGAGTAAATTTAGACAGACGATGTCCCTTCTGGGAAGCAGAAGGCAGATGTATCACTAATAAATGTACAGTAGACGAGTGAGAGACTAAAGAGGTCCCTCAACAGTTTAAAATGTGTAATCAGACCTTTGACGTAGAGAAGGATCTTGAGGAATCAGAAATGACTATGATTAACTCTTTCCTACCTAATATGCTAGAAGATGAGTGGATGAGGATTGAGGAGAACGATCAAGAAGCTATTTTTGTAAACATCTTGAATAATGGGCATGCATGGACCTTCTTCAACGGAAGTCATATTTGGGACGCAATTTATACAAGCAGTTGTAACAATACTCCAAATTCTAACAAAAATTCAGGCTTGAGACAAGATTTTACAAGAAATCATAGGTAAGATTGTAGATAAAAAAGACTGTAAATACATCAATCTTCTTGATAGTTACAAAGAACTGAGGCTGAACCATAAGTTTTCTTATGAAATTAGTAAACTTTCTTATCAATATTTTCAATGAGTCTTCATTTTCTAACTTTCGAATAATTATTAGTAATTTTTGATATCTGAAAATATTGATAAAATTATTTCTAATAAATGATTTGCGATTTCATTCAATATTTGATCAAGCTGCAAAAATAATAATCAATCTTGAAATTTGCTATCCAATTTTTTTAGAAAAATTAAAGTTGTAAGGCATTTTCTTGAACGAATCTTAAAATTAGCTAATTTTACACATTTGAATGCTAAACTTTTCATAAAATACAAATTTGATACGATAAAAATCATTATCTAGTGCAAAGGACTGACCAGAAAACCCAGTTCTCTACAGACTCATAAGTGGGGTACATGCTAATGTTAACCTTCATATTACTCACAATGACTTTGATCTGAACGGAGACCCTCTTCCTCCGAATCACGATAAATATTTAGAAAGAGTAGGGTTTCACAAAGAAAGGCTTGAAAACCTATTCCTTGCTTATTCCCTCACGTTACAAGCAATCAACAGCCTAAATGGTAAAGTTGAAGAGTTCTCATACATTGCTGATAATCCTCAAGCAGATCAGGAAATGAAGGAGACTCTTCATGCTCTGATAGAAGACTCCATTAAGGTATGCAAGAACCCTTTCTTAGCTGATAAGTTGTTTGAGGCTTTTCCTAAGCAAGAATTTATTAAGAAGATCAAACCGATATTTTATAATATCACTAAAATCCTTGATTGAGTCACATGTGAAAAATGCAAATTATACGGTAAACTCCAATTCACAGGTCTTACAGCTGTCATGAAGATCATGTTTGGGCAAGGAAATGAGTCAAAGCTCACAAGAAACGAGATGGTTGGATTGATCAACCTCATGGCTAAGTTAGCTGATTCAGTAGAATGGTACTTTGAATACTTGGAATATGAGAAAACTATGCTGTATAAAATACGAAATGCTATTAAAACAGAGGCACCAATATTACTCATCCTCACCCTGTTTTTGATATATACAATATCCCAATCTCGAGAGGCCAGACCTTTTCAAGCACCTCTAACATTCTTAGATAAAAAGCATCAATAAAATATCTAATCAGTTTCAAACATTGCAAGATGTTTTAATGAATAGTTCTTAATCTTAGACTCAAAATTTTAAACTTTTCTAAAAAGTGCCCTCCTTGAATACTATAGCAGAATGATGAATTTAGCGACTTCGACTTAGTTTTATTTTTGAATTTAATATAGAATTCAATATGTTTTAAATTCCTCGGGGTTTTGGGGTTTTGGGGTTTTGGGGTTTTGGGG